GCGCTGCACTGAGGTCCCATTCATACTAATTTACAGCCACAGCTCCAAGGCAATTCGAAATGAAAGGCACCCAAACACCAAGATTAAGCAGTCCTTGTAACCTGTTGGATACGCTGAAAGTTAACTAGGCCAGGAATGTGCCAAGAATTTTTGGTAAACACTCTTCTCTTGACCTAGAACCGTGCATTTGACTCAGCAGAAACTGATTAAAATTCAGATTTTCCTACTGGACAACTTTCCAGATTGATGGAAGTGGGAGCTTTGTATGCGCCGCAGCATTATCATCAACATCCTATCGTTTTACCTCTTTTGGTACAGATCGCCTCGGCCTCTCGGAGCCAGCCGAAGTGGCCGCCATTCAAGACCGTCTGCTGGCGGCTTTCAGAATGCAATTGGAGCGTAACCGACGCTCCATGTCTGGAGGAGCAATCGTGTCTAGCGAGCACGCTTTGCTGGGTCAAGCCGTTGCCGGGATTAGCCAATTGGCCGGTCTCGGCCAAATTATGCAGGGAAACATGCGCTGGTATCGCGACAACTGGTACCGCACTCGACTGGCCCCATTGTACGCGGAGATATATGACATTCCACACGAGGAAACAGCGACGCCCGCAATGGCCGCGGCCGCGGCGGCTGCAGCCGCCGCAGCTATCGCTAATGCAGCCGCCGTCGCCACGACTGCTGTTGCTGCCGCCTCCATGGCGCCTGGTGTGCTGATGGCCCCAGGCTCGCACCACCACCACCCAAGCCCACCCTCGGCAGGCTCAACCGGCTCTCTGCAGCATCCTAGTCCGCATTCGCATCCCGCCCCACAAATGCCCTCGCCGGCTCCCCATCCGACCGCCCACCCGCACAGTCACGCACATGCACACGGTCTGACCGCCGCCCATCAAGCCCATCAAGCCCACAACCTGAGCCACTTTCAACTGGCATACCCAACTGTTGCTAACCACATGCCTCTGGCGTCAGGCTCCACGGCCTCAGCATCCTCTAGCCGATCCGATCTACCGCCCGTGGTCACCTATGCTGGTCGGTATGCGGGCGCGACATATCCGCACCCTGGTGATGGCCGAGGCATTGGCAGCGGTGTCGGGACAGCAGGAAGCAGTGGCGGGGTGAGCAACTCGTGTCCCGGCTCCACGGGCGAGGGCACTGGCTACCTGAGCCACGATTCCCTCGGGACTCATGCTCCTCTTCTGGTACAGCATCACTATCCATCCTCGGCCTCGACCGCAGTTGTCACCAGTACCGGCACCGCTCCCGTGCCTACACTTAATACTGCCACAACTTCATCAAATTCTCCCTCTTCCTCTTCTTCCTCATCGTCATCCTCTTCCTCGTCGTCATCCTCCTCTTCCGCCGCCGCCTCATCCTCCTCATCTACTCTACCCTCACTGACTCTATCAGCCGTTGGCAACTCTACTAGTGGCAGTGGCCTCGCAGGGCATAGCATCGCCTCCATCACCTCATCCAACGGCTACTACGCACCCAGCAGTTCCAGCAGCCCTGGGTCCATTTGCGCCTCCGCCTCGGTCGCATCAGCCATCAACACATCCACTCTCATTTCCGCTTCTGCACCCACTCCCTCTTCTTCTTCGTCCACCCCTTCTTCCTCTTCATCGTCTCTCTCGACGGCCTCTCCTGTTTCCTGTTCCTCATCTTGCTCTTCTTCTTCTTCCTCATCTTCCTCTTCTTGTTCTTCCTCCTTAATCTCGCGTTCCATCTCCTCATCGGGTTCCCATGCTGCCACGCTCACCGGCGGCAACGTCAGCGCCACTAGCTACGCCAGCCTGGGCAGGTCTTTGTCACCGCCATGCTCCACTATGAATGCCAAGGCGGCCGAATATGCTGGCCACATGCGTCGTATTAGCGCGACCGCCGTCGCAGAGGCTGTCAACCTCGGACATTACCCAGTGCCCTCGGCGTCTCCTTATTCCACTCAGACCGGAGGGCATCATCAGCAACAGTATCACCATCATCATCATCATCAGCAGCAACAGCAACAGCAACAGCAACAGCAACA